TCGAGGTAGGGTGGGGGTAAGGGTAGGTGGGGTCGAGGTAGGGTGGGGTCGGGGTAGGTGGGGTTGGGGTCGAGGTGGGGCAGGGATAACAATAGGTTACGGGCAAGGGGTAAATTCGGAAACTGAAAAAACTTAAAGTGCCGCTTAATTAATACATGGGGGTGGTATGCTTAATAAGCGGCACTTTAAGCACCTCTTTCGGTTAGTAAGCGGCTTTTTAAGCAGTGTGCGTGTTTACTTCACCTGTCTTACTAACCTAACTGTGACTTTAGCAGTGAAGTAAACACCTCCTTAATGTTTTCCTAAGGCCAAAGGTTTCACTATCACTTTTCTAACTTTAGGCTAACTGAAAGTTTAAACTCAAACTTAAAATTAAAACCACAAAGTACCTAAAGTAGCTGAAAGTTTAAACTGAAACTGAAAAAACCGAAAATCCAAGTTTAAACTTAAACTGAAAAAAAGTGTGTATGTATATGTCTATGGGGAGTATAAATTAGTAAATTACAGTGTTGAGAGACCGAGCTCATATTAAATATTACTACCTCCGTTCAAACTTTTTTTTGTAAAGTCAACATTTTTTGTCATTCAATAATAAGGTAAAATCCTTTCTTTTAATTATTAATTCAATTTTAATAATCAATTACATATTTAACTTTAAAGTTTCTATAAAGTTGCAAAATATAAATGACTTATTTTACAAATATTACTAAATAAAAGCTTGAAGACAAAAAAGTGATCATATATAAAAATTCCAAAAATATGACTAATAGATGCAATGACCAATGTATTCTTCTTGTAGCGACTTGCATATTTAGTTATTGGAATTAGACCATCAAATATTGACCACCTGACTAATGTATTTTTCATTGTTGACTGTGGACGTCGCCCGAATGATTGCTGTTGCCGCCACCTGTCTAGTAATTGCCACCGCCTCATCCATTGACCGCCACTACAGCTTTAATAAGTGATTGCCACCATCCTCGTCCAGAAGTCGTCGCCAGAGAGATGTCGTCATCTTCGTTGACATAGATCTAGTTATTTCAACATTGGCGGAGAAGAAAGGAGAAGAAGGGACCACATCAGAGATGATAGCAGACCGGGGCTACAGTCGAGAGCGGCGTTGGTTGGTGGAAGTGGCAGAGCAGCAACGTTGGAGCGCAGATGAGCTTCGTCCGATCTCGAGGGGAAGACAGCGATCTGGGAAAAGACGAGAAACTTTGTCTGATCTTCGACAAATCTAACAGCATGGTAGTGCGCAGGGAAGAGGAGCTGATATGAGAGGAAGACAACGGATATGGCCATCTGGTAGAAGCCCTTCGACCGAGCGTAGAGGGAGGCAAATGTTGAAGAAAAAAATAGGAAGTAATATTTGTGTCATTGTTTCAAATATAAATTAAAATTTATTTTTTTCAGAAAAAAATGGCTTATATTAAAACTAGCGGTCTATACGCGCAATGCGCGAAAGCTAATGCCCAATAAATAATAAAGATGCAAATTAACGATTTTCACCAATAATTTATAGATATATGTTGCATTAGTTCATATATTTTCCTATTATCGGTTTTATTGGTAAATTTTACTATCAAGTCCCAAATTGTTTTGCTAAGTCAACATTTTTGTCAATCAATATTGAAGTTAAATTCTCCTATTGATAATTATTTCAATTTTAATAATTAAAATTTACATATTCAGAAACTAAATTAAAATCTCGATAAAGTTGCAAAATCCAAATTTAAATTTCATGAATAATTGATATCTTAATTAAGTGAATAAAATCTAAGTAGTTAACTCGCTACTCGGTAGCTACTCGGTCAAGGGCCGAGTAGCGAGTAGGACCGGTTACTCGGGATTACTCGGTGATTACTCGATCATGTATTAATTAAATATAATAATATAGGTGCCTGAGATTATAGAAATATAATAGTCTAAAAATAGTCTTTAAATTGTCTTAATATGCATAGAAGTGAATAAAAATATAGAAATCCTATTATCCTAATGATGGAGTAGCATAAGTCATAAAGCAAAAGTCATAAAGCAGTCAATCATCTAATAAGTTGGTCTGATATTAATCTTCGTTGGGTTCAAGGTTGTAATTTCCTTCTTCCTTCCTCCATGTCCCCAAATAGATATTCTCCAAATAGATCTTTAGTTGTCAGATTCCACACTTATTCTTCCTCTTCCACTTCCGGGTCATCTAAATCAATATCTACGAGTCTATACGCAGACTGAGCAAAGTTAATGACTATAATTAAAAGATTTTGTGAGTGTGTATTTATCATGAAGGAGAGGAGGGGAGATAATAAGAAATTAGACAAGGGAGAGGGGAATATACGAAAGAGGTGATATCAATTCTGACTAAAGTTCCAAACATACACACTGCCAAGGAAATATTAATATAAAAATGAAAGCTTAATATGAAAGGAACTAAATAACTAAGAAACTTAGCAGCTTGGAATTCTATAGTAAAAAATTGCGGCTACAGTAGTTTGGGTTTGGATAATCACGTGATTGATTTATTTATTTTTAACACGTAACAACGGAAAAGATTTTTTTTTTAACAATCGCCGTAGCACTGTAGCACTCACAGGCTCACAGCTCCTTGCAGTATCATTCTCCTCACAGTAGCAGTCGGAGCTCCTGGCAGTAGCATTCGCAACTCCAAATGATGTAGCATCAGTAGTTGAAGCTCTAAAGTACAAACGGATGACCAGTAACGATTAATTTCATAGGTTTTGTTTGCACATGTCTTTTTTTTAATACCGAGTAATAGTCGAGTACTCGCCAATTTGACTAACTCACCGAGTTGGCTAACTCGCCGAGTACTCGGCGAGTAACTCGGAAAATTAACTCGGACCGAGTTAAGGTGCTACTCTGCAAGGTAAGAGGCCGAGTAGAGAGTACTCAGCGAGTACTCACCGAGTAGATAACCCAGAATAAAATGAATCTGTTCGACCCAAAAAAATCAATTCGGTAACTCAATTTGAGACGAAGGGAGTATAGAACACATTGGGCTATATACTTAAATTGCACAACTATACTTAAATTATCTAAGTTTTTCTAAAATTGACTCCTAATGTTATAAACCAATAACTGAAGTGATGTACTACTATTCCTTCCTATTTGAACTTAACGTAGTGATGTGCAGTTGTAAAGCCAGTGGCGTACGTAGTTTAATAATCTAACTTAGTAAAGTTAACTCTTAACGGTGTAATGGTATTTTAGTCTTTTAGAAAAGTTTAGTACTATATGTTAGGGTGAATGTACAATCTTTTATGTATAAAAAGATTGACATAAATGAGGAATACTAACCCATATTCACAATTATAATGTTTCTAGAAGACTGGAGAACTGAACTGAAGCAAGTTACAAAACGACAAAAAGTCTTTTGTCTACCGCCTGTCCTCGATACATACTTAAAATCTATCACTTGCGTAGAAACAATAAGATTCGTTGATCCTGTAATGGGCTTAACTGAGCCAATGACAGACAAATCAGACTTATGATCACATGACTAAAATTCTAGAGCTTTTTTGCTTAGAAATAAAAACACAACGAAAAAAACATGCAGTTCAAAATAAAAACATGGACAAAATAAACTGGAATTAAAACATAGTCCATTCGTCTTCTTCCAAACCCTAGGCTCTCCAGCACTCCAAAACACGTTCTCTGCCATCAATATTCATCACGTTCTCTGCCAAGCCTTCACTTTCTCAACAAAACACAAATGATTAGAATCAAGATCGGTTCCAGTCTTTAGTCCCAAGCATCGCCCACCTTCGCCCATGCCTTTAGTCTCTCGTTTCGGAACATGTGTTTGCCGCCATGAGGGGGCTGCGCGTCGTCCGAAGAAGAAAGTCGCACCTAATCGGCAAAAGAACCCATGTGTTTGCCGCCATGAGGGGGCTGCGCGTCGTCCGAAGAAGAAAGCCACACCTAATCGGCAGAAGAACCCTAGCAAGGGGAAACAATCGCTTTTTTCCTTCTCTCTAAACGAACTCTCGACTTTCGCCCAAATATTAATTTAAATTTAATTAAGATTGATATTCTAATTAAGTGCATAAAATAAATTAAATTGGGGAAGAAGAATAAAGACATGAAACAGTCACATGATGCACTCCGTATTATTAATCACGGATGAATAAACTCCAATGAAACAGTCACATGATGTACTCCATAGGGCTGAGCGCGGATATGGGAATTCTCGTTCCGTACCGAAGAACCGCCCCGTACTGTTACAGAACCGAAAGAATCGGAAAAATGTAATACTGTACTGTACCGTACCGAGCTTTTTTAATAATATGGTACGGTACCGGTTCTTAGTGAGAACCGTCCCGGAACCGTCCCGAAACCGTATTGAACCGAACCGTCTCATACCGTCCCAAATTGTCCCGGAAACTAGTGTTATAATATAATAATATATTATATATACTCCGTAATATATTACCAAGTATAAATGTTAGTGACCGTATGTCCCGAAAACTAGTGTTATAATATAATAATAATATATTATATATAATATATTACCGAGTATAAATGTTAGTGACTGTATGTCCATGTATTACAAATATGCAATCTTGCATATTCTTTGGGCGTAATCCAATTATTAAGACTTGACAGCACTAAAAGTTAGATTTAAAACAAAAACAATACTAAATGATATAAACAATGTTACGTAAATAGGGTTAATTATATTTCGTGGGGTTAATTATTTAGGAACCAAATAACACCGGAGAACAGTACCGGACCGTACCGAACCGCACTAAAAATTGGTACGGAACGGGACATGTCTATATATATGCGGGACAATACCGGTTCTTGATTTTTAAATGAACCGTACTTTGGACGGGACACATTTTTTGAAATAACCGTCGTTACATGCTCACCCCTAGTACTCCATGTGAGTAATCACGGATGAATAAACTCCAAGGAAGCAGTCACATGATGTACTTCGTATCATTAATCACGGATGTATAAATTCCAATTCATACACTTCTTTAGCTGAACCCCACCCCTACACTTGTATGTAGGAATTGTAGCACTATATATCCTTCACGGGTAGAGTTTTTCCTTGGTGGACTGGCGCCTTTGAGAGCTTCGATCTGGGGAGTGGGGAGGAGGGTTTTTGAGTCCGGGCTGATATTTGGCCGGGATGCTTTCGGAATTTGAAATAATATGATCTCGTGGAAATGGCTATGAATACAGGGGGAGACCTATTCCTGGTTCTCACAATGGGAATGAATCTGTGCTCATCAACGTTGATGAAGTTGAAAATGTTTCTTTTTCTTCTCCTTCTTCCACAGTTCGTTCTTCAAATGTGCCTATATGTCACTCACATGTGAATAATCATTCCCTTCAGAAATGTTATTACTGGGGTATCTGCCTTTGTGGTGATATTCTAATGCAACATCTGAGCCTGGGTTTTCTGGCTTTCTTAATTGTGTAGAAACATCTCTAAAAGGTTCTGATTTTATTGTGCTTCTGGTACCTTCAATTAGAGATTGCTTGAGCTGCTTGTGAGAGTATGTTTGGCTGCAGGAGCAATTACTATTTTTTTTACTCTTCAAAATTATCTTCTTCTTAAGGACTAAATGAGTGATCTCTATCACTATACGGGTATATGCCTATATTACGATGATTGCTGTCACTTCTGAGTTATATGGATAGTGTTTTCTTTTGGACTGTTTTCAGTCCCACACCAGACTAGACTAGTTATAAAATACATAGAGACCGGACGTTTACCAGACCAGTTCAGTTCAGACCAGACCAGACCAGACCAGCAAATTTCAGTTCAAAAGAAAACATCCATAGAACTCAGGTTCTGTGTTTGTTGGTGTGGACTGTGGACAAACTCAGCCTTCATGGATGTGAATGTAACTTCGAATCTTCTAGTGGCTATTCCGCCTCCCTATTAGTCCCTGCTTTGACATTATAATCTTCTCCTGCCCAACAATATCAAAAGAAATACTTCGTAAATTACCCATAATGAGAAAATGTATCTCAATTTTGGATGTGGCAAAAAAACAGCTAATATTCCATATATCGCAGTTTTAAACCCTTATAAGATCTCTTATGACCCTCATGCAAGGTCTTAATGCTCAAGTGGTTGGAGTTAATGAAAGACTTGTTTTATAATTTCACACATATATTACTATATTAGGACTACTTGATGTTGAAGCTTATTAAAATGATATCTTATGAGTTTATTGAATTGGCAGCATCATTATGACTATGGGATATCTTTCTATGGCCTCCAAAATTCATCATCACTGTGCTACAACATTTCTTAATCTACTTCCGATGGTCATCCTCATTTTCTCGATAATCACTTGGTAAGATGCTACATTTATTAGTTCAAAAAATAAGTTTGTACAAAGTAATCACATTATTGCTTATGTTGGGAATTGAAGTGTAAAAATGTTGAGGTTGAAAACTATGACCAAAAATATTATACTCATTGGAATGATGCTCTCCCTTGCGAGAGCGTTGATCATTAAATTATACAAAGAGAAAACATTTATCTTAACACAATTTATCATAAAAGTGCCCCTACAACAAAGTCTAATTGGGGACATGGAACTATCTTTCTAGTGTGCAACTACTTAAGTTATGATTTATGGTTCATTATATAGGTGATCATTATAATCGATCCACAATAAGTTATTCATTATTAGTAAAATTGTATGTTTTAAATCTAATAAGTTATTTTTGCTTTGAATGATATGATTTTGAAGGCTAAATTGTTCAAAGTATTTTCATATCAATATTGTATAACTACTCTTAGGTGCATATTCGCCACATTTCAAAGCATAGTAGTGGTTTTATTGATTAATAGAACAAAAGTCTCTTGAAAATTGGATGAGATTGCAAGTTGCAACTAATTACGATCCTCTATTTAATTTTTTTTGTCTTTCTCTATTCATATACGGAGTATATTTTAAGACCCTAAGTATCATATTAAAAGGTCAACCCCAATATAAGAAGTTGTTTGAGCTCTCTACATGAATTTGTTATGAAAAATCCTTAAGTTTTTGTGTTGTTTGATGACACTCTGATTAAACTTAGTTTAACAAACTTCAAAAGAGTTATATATGAGTTTATAATTTATATTTTCTTGGTGTGTGATGGTTTAACTTATTCATGATCACGTATTCACGACTAATTAGAACAAATCGATCTCACAATGCTTTATTATTCAAACTTACAAGGATTAGATGGTTCATTATTTAAATCTGAAATACTCATGTTTAAGAATAAAGGTTCACCATAAAAGAACAAAAAGATGTGATAATAGCTCATGATCTTAAATAAGAGTTTGTAAAAATATGTTAGAAGGACGTGGGATGTTTTAACAATAGTTATGTAACATTATTTATAAGATTAAAAAGATTTTAAAAAAAACTCTATGATTGTCTTTGCCAATTGTTGTAGGGTGCATTAACTACAATAACAACATTTTGCTTAATTTCATCAGTAGTAGCAAAGAGAGGTTCACCTTATCCTTCTATTTTCAATTCAATGTTCTTAATATTGGTAGCCATTGCTGAAGTTGTCTTTCTTCGTTCAACCATTTCATTGGGAATGTTAAGTTTCATTAACATTATCAACTTAATTTCCTTTTTATCATTACATTTTTATTCTTATGATATTGATGTTCAATATATCCAATTGCAACTTTATTGGTTTAGCTCTGACCATACTAAGATTGGATCTGTTCTTGTGAGGGAAGAACATAGAGATTAAAAGTCTAATTCTGTCAAATAAGAGGCAAAGTGAAGCTCAATTATCAACAACTGATACTACTTCATTGCCATCAACGAGGAAGAACACAAAGATAAAAAACTTAGTTCTGTCAAATAAGAGGCAAAGTGAAGTTCAATTTAAAAGAATTAGGTTTTTGATCTCTATGTTCTTGCCCCATAAGAATAGATACAATCCCAGTACGATCAAAGTCATACCAATCAAGTTGCAATTGGATATATTGAACATAGATATCATAATAATAAAATTGTATTGATAAAAAGGAAATCAAATGGATAATGTTAATGAAAACTAACACTTTCAGTGAAATGGCTGAACTGAGAAAGGCATATTTAGCAATGACTACCAATAATACTAAGGACAACAAATTGAAAATAGAAAGATAATTTGGACCTCTTTTAGCTATTGTTCATGATATTATGCAAAATGTTGTTGTTTGATTGTATCAAATACATCCTACAAAAATTGACTTAGACAATTAAGGAGTTAGTTTAAATATCCTTAATCTTATAACTAATGTTACGTAATTGTTAAAAAATCTGACATCCTTATGACATATTTTTTCAAACTCTTATTTAAGATCATGAGTTATTATCACATTTCGCTGATCTTTTATGGTGAAACTTCAGTCATAAACATGTGTATTTAAAATTAAAAAGTAAACCATTGAGGGCTCGTAAGATTGAATAGAAAGCATAAGATTGTCATGAGACCGATATGTTCTATAAGCGGGATCATGAACAATAAGTTAAATCATCACATACTAAGCAAATATAGAATTATAAACTCATATATGATCTTCTTGGAGGTTGTTAAGTCAAGCTCAACCAAAGTGTTGTCAAAGAAGACAACAATTTCAAGAATTTTCTTCTTAACAAATTAATGTAAAAAACGTAAACAATTTCTTATATTAGGTTTGACTTGATATAATATTTTGTGTCTTAAAACGAACTCCCTTCGTATCACAATAAGAGTCTCACTAGACTTTTCACGTAGTTTAAAAGAATTTAGAGGTTTACTGTACACTTTTTGAAAAAGTAAGAGATTTTTTGTTGTAACAATACTGTTTACTTTATTAAAGTATATTGCAGCTACTTTTGGGGTGGAATTACTTTCTAAAATGGAAGTGAGACACTTATTTTGATACGTCCAAAAAGGAATGTGAGACACTTATTATGATACAATGGAGTATATATAAAGAGAGAAAGATGAAAAACTTATTGAATAGATGATCGAAAATAGTTGCAAATCCTATTTACTTTTCATGAGCCTTTTGTTCTATCAATGAATAGACCCACTGTGATGCTTTCAATTGTGGCAAATATGGAAAGTCAGGACTCCTATGAGTTTCATATGGAAATCCTACAACCCCCCAAACTATCTTTTAACGTGTGGTTGGCTTTAAGAAACCGGCTTCCTACCCAGGATAGCCTCAGTTATCTACACATTGTGAATAGGTGTGACCTATGCAAGGGTGGTTTAGCGACAATACCACACCTCTTTTTCCTTTGCCCCTTTACTTGTAGGGTGTGGCAGCACATAAGGAACTGGATGGGACTCGGGCATGAAATGACTACCTTCCTAAGTGCCATTAAGTGGATCACGAAGACTCATAAAGGATCGACGATGAAGGCAAAAGCAGTCCGTCTAGCTTTCTGCGCCTCGATCTACTATATCTGGCATGTAAGGAATGAGTTACGTTTTGATGGAGGTTTGAAGACGGAAGCTGATGTGATTTCTAATGTCAAGCATGTGGTGTATAAGATCCTTTATAGCTTATACCCACACGAGTTGATCAACTTTTGATGGGAGAAAGTGATCGCCTCTTCAAAGCCGCGATATCATCTTTTAGGACTGTGTGTGAGCACCTTGCAACACCTTGAGTTTATGGATGGGCCAAGGGGAGTGCACACTATAACCTCCTATTGGCCGTTTCTCTTTTTTGGTTGCTGTATGTTTTTCATGTTCTGTGTGTGTGCACCTAGCAGCACTGATTGGTTTTTCCTGTATGGTTTGGGGCATTTAGTATTCTATACGTGGGCCCCCTTTTTTATTTTTGTTTAGATCGAATAAAAACCTCTCCTAACCCCTACACTAGGTAGGGGGGGGTGGGGGGAGTTTAGGAGATTTAGAACCCTTTGATGTATATTTTTCTTGGGTGTTAATATATATTTACATTTCATCAAAAAAAATGTGGCAAATATGCATGTAAGAGCGGTTGCAAATACTGTACAGAGATATCTTGAACAATTTAATCTTTAAAGTAAAAGCATTCCAAACAGAATTAACTTATTAGATTTACAATATAAAGTGTTACTTATAAAAATTAATAGTGGATCGGTTGCAGCGATTACCTATATAATGAACCAGAAACCATAACTTAAATAGCTACACTCTAGAATGATAATTCCTTGCCTTCGATCAAGTTTTGTTGTAGGGGCAATTTTGCGAATATTAGTGTTGAGATGAAATGTGTTCCCTTCGAATAATTTAATGGTCAATGCTCCCACAAGGGAGGAAATCATTCCAATGAATTTAATGTTTTCGGCCTTGATTTTTAACCTCAACTTCTCTACACTATGCCTAAGACATAATAATGTGATTACTATGTACAAACTTGTTTTTTAACTAATAAATGTAACATTTTACAGAGTGATTATCGAGAAGATGAAGGTCACTATCGGCATTAGATTAAGAAAGTTGATAGCACAAGTTGGTGATGTGTTTAGGAGACCATAGAAAAGGAATATCATGATCCTCATGACCATATTGATCCTGCCAATTCAATAAGCTCATTAGTTCATGTCATTTCAACAAGTTTCAATATCAAGTAGTCCTAGGATATGTGCATATTACTATCGTAAAATATAAGGCACAAAGATACAATTAAGGTTACAACTCTGGTACCTTTCTAAAATATGGGGTACTGTATCTATCATTCATTTGGTTGAACCATATCACTTTATCATTTTTAATTTAGATTTAAATAATTCAACTGCTACATTCTCATTGATCCATGTGGACAAAAATATGGTACCTTATGGGTACCATAGAATCTACCTACAAATAAATTCTAATTGTAGTCAATAAAGATTTTATATGTGTAGTGATCCTTTTTTAGGTACAAATGTACAATGATCAAGGATATCTTTTCGTACAAATTCACCATTTGAACTAACTATGAGAACTTCAATAGTGTTAATGCAATTATAAGTGACAAAAACCGTTTTAAAAAAATTTACAACAATCATGCATAGGGGTGGGTTCGGTTCTTGCGGTTCGGTTTTGACTTAAAACCAAATGTAGAATCACAGTAAAAAGTTTGGTTCGGTTTCGGTTCGGTTTTACACTCCAAAACTTGGAACCACGGTTTGATTGGTTCGGTTTGTTTCAGTTCGATTTCGGTTTTTTCGGTTTTTTACCAAAAAAATTTCCCTTGATTTAAAATTGATATAATACTTAGAGGGACCAAACATATAACATAAAAAATGCAAGCACAATACAACGACAAATAAAATAAAAACGAGAAGAGATAAATATGTCTTGAATTATATGAATACGCGAGATAAATAAAACTATATATATTATTGATTTAATTTGTTTGTGATTAGTTTGAAAAAAGTTCATGAATATATACGTTATATGTGATATAGTTGAGATGAATATTTATTGTTTTATCAATATAAAATCTTTAAGTTATCTAAAAATAAAAGTTAATTACTACCAATAACTAGTAAGCACATATTATCATCATTCTACATTATTACAGACAATGAATGTGAATGAATTTATAAACTAAATTAAATTAAACATAACACAAACATTATTTCTCTAACACAAGAAAACCAAAGACTATTGATGATATTAAGATTAACTAGTTTTGTACCCGGGCGTTTTCCCGGGTGCAATTCTCATATGAAATATTTAGTTTATAATTTTGTGCATATGTGATATATATCTTTTGTACTCGTATGAATTGTTTACATCTCATTGACAAAGCATTGTAATATGTATTAATTCAATATAATATTATATAATATATAAGAATAAAGAAGTTGGGATCCGTAAGATATTAGAATAACTAAACGGCATAACAAACCGAAAGATTGTGCTTCTAAATTCTGGAAAAACTCTCTATAGACAACATTTATGACATTGAAGGAAAATCCCTATTCTTTAGAACTTATCAAAATCTCTAATCCTTCTTTGCTTTTAACTCTTGATATGACAACATATGATTGGCCATGAGTGAACGCATTTTTCTCAAGATAATAGTCTGACCTGAGATATAGACTGACATTGGCTCTTGTTGATGCTCATCGCAAAGCATACCATAATCGAGAATTGCTTCATCTGAAAATTAAAAGACAGTGTTACGACATGTCGACATATGGATATAATGGCACTCTGAGAATTTAAACAGTGGCCCCCATATTTCTTCCAGTGATGATCTTTGCCTCTAGCACATGTTTTCCAAGCTTGGTGAGATTTAACTTGGTTCCATTACATAATTTTGTTTGCTGGTCTATATTTCTCAAGAGCATAATGGGAGCACCAATCTTTAGATGCAACTCGTGATCAGGCGACCCCGATATTGAGAGACTGTTAAGAAATTCTAATGTATATATGTCACTCTCACGACACAAACCGATATCTGAATTAATAATACTATCTGAGCTGAGGTACGTGATTTGATCACCAGTGATCAAAGATAGCATGTAGTCATTTATTTGGCGAACCACGTCTATAGTAGGTGCAAATATCACTCTTTCCTGCAGGTAAGTTGGATTGCTGAGGCGTTCTTGCATGTTGGGATATGTGCTATTAACGATAGCTGCTAGGTAGTTATGTTCCGCCTTGATTAGAAATTCATTCAGGATTTCCACCTTTGTTTACTGTTATGCCAATGTTCCTTCTCCTATACTCTGGATACCCATCTTCATTAATGGAGATCGTGGGCCTGAAAGAGAAACACCTTGGGTAATGTTTAGAACACACTGTTTATCATGCAAGGTGATTTTTTGTTGAAATCTCCGCAAGGGCCGTGTATCATTATACTTTTTTACCGCGTCATGCAAGTCTACATATTGGAGAGGATCAGGAGTTCAGCTGAGATGACCTTATCAATGTCATCAACGCCTCTCAACTTGTACTCAGAGCATATAAACAGGAAGATGCGGGCACGTAGTGTAAATAACTGCATAACCAATTCAATGAAGTAAATTAGTATGTAATTATATCCACATTTATTTAAAACGAAGACATCATTGGAGAGAACTTATGCGCTTGAGGTTTTCTGAATAGTTTCCTATCTTTGAGTTCTTCAATGAGACGTTTTAGCTTAATCTTAAAGATTCTCACAATGATATTGGGTCTGTCTTTAGATTTGAAGTTTCCATCATGAAGACTTATCTACTTATGGCCATTTTGGGTTACACGTGAAAGTTATAAAAAGGTTTGGGTTACCACAGTTAAGAACAACGGTCATCGCATCCTGATAGGTCTGAATCATGTACCTTGCTCCGCCGGTAAATGAAGACGGTAATATTATTCGTTTGCCTTGGGCATGTGGGTTTGTTTCTCCCCTTACAACTGCATCTACCAGACCTTTGTATATATTAGATCTCAGTTTCACCTAATTGTTTCTTAGACATTAGAGTCTTTCCTATATCCAATCATTGTAGAAGCATCAACAATGAACTACCGAAGAGGTCTCCTTGATTTAAGGATTGTACTGTATTTAAATATATATGATTTATACTTAGTATTCAATTAATAAAACAGATTAATACATATTAAAAAGTAAAGCTTAAATGTAACTGAAGAGAACAAACCCACGAATTGAAGGTACGAAGAGTCAAAGACAACGAACCAGATTCTGAAGCTTTGACATTTGGTTCCCAACTTCTATTCGGATCTACCTATTTACCCTTCAAAGTTCAAATGCAGGAACAAAATATTAGATGGTTGAATGTTTCAAAGAAATTGAAATGTTAAAGTTCAAAGTCGAGAAGTCGAGAAGATGAAGTGGGAGATTTACCCATTCACGATGGGAGAAGTCGAGACTCGAGAAGATGAAGTTAGAGATTAAGAAACCCTAAATTTTACTATGTATTTTAGGCTCAGGAGATAGATTTTACAATTTTAAATTTTTAGACGAGAAAAGTGTCAGTTTGGTCCCTCAAGTTGCAGCCGGGGGAGTAAAGAGTACCTGTAATTGCATTTGTGCTCCAGAGATACATCAAATAGCCAAAACGGGTCTAATTTGGTCCACTACTTCATTAGCCAGTTAAAAACGGTGATGTGGCCAACAGATTAATGACATGGGAACTAATTAACCAACTCACCCGCTAACTCTTCCACCTCAGCATCGTCCTCAGTTCTTCTGCATTTAAATCGAACCCTAGCATACACTTCTCTTTGTTTCTCTCTTTCAGCGTATTGGGTCTTCATCCCTTCTGTACTCGGTTAAGATATCATCTTACTCCTGTGTTGTTGAAGATTTTTATGCGTCGGTCTTCATCCCTGAGGCGTATTGGGTCGCAAACTAACAAAATTTTTTGTCCTTCAGGTTTGGGAAGAAGGAAAATGTCTTATGGAAATTGCTATTGTGGAATTCCAGCAAGGACAATGACTTCATGGACAAATGACAACCCAGGGAGACGATTCATTGCATGTTCAAGAGTAAGCCCATTCGAATGATAAAAGTATAGTATTTATGATTGTGCTTGTCTTGACTTATCCCTATTATTGCAAATAGGGCACAGGTGCCTGCTGCAACATGTTCGAATGGCTTGATGAAGAAATGTGCTACAGGTCCAAGATGATTATTCTTGGTTTGCTGAGGAAAATAAACACATTGGAAGCTCAGCTTGTTGAGGAGAAGGCAAAGGAAAAAGGGGTGTCAAACAAAAATAGGCTTTGGAGTGTGTTGTGGTGCACGCTTGCAGGAATAGGTATGCTAGTGATATGGGTTGTTTGGAATGACAGTGCAAGCAAGAAGAAGGTACCTTGGAAGATGTGTGAGGCTAGAACTGAAGCTGGAATGGATTAATTTAAAATGGAAACCATGTATCTGTTTTAGGAAGTAGTGTATGTACCATCAGTTTGTTAGGCTTGGTGTAACTGTTTCTTAAATTTGTGGTTTCACTTTGTTTGGTTTGATGTATGAGTTTGTTATGTTTAATGTATCAGTATGATAAGTTTGATGTATCATTTTGTTATGTTATGTTTGATGTTATCTAGGCTGATCAGTTTCTTTGTCATGATGTAACACAAATATTGTAATGTGTTGACCTCTCTTGGCAGTGGTTAACAATTGTGCTGTTTCAATGATATGTGTAATGTTTAGTATTTGGTGCATTTATAAGTTTTTTTTTTTGATAAATAAGGATCATGTTCTTTTTTTTTTTTTTTTAGAAGGGATATTTTATTAAGAATAAGAGGAAATGATACAAGCAAAGCAAGAAAATGAAAAGTACAATAAAGATAAATGAAAAAACAAGATATTTAGTTAGGGAACTTAAGAAAAGAAGCCCTCGGAGCCGCTCCAGTCATCATCCCTCGTGTCATGTCTGAAACCCCCAGATTGAGATCTAGTTCTCATAGAGTGCAATCGCCGATTTTTCTTTTTTTTCTGATAGATTTTGATTTGGGTATTCAAATTGCTCGTAGGCAGATAATTTTCCTTAGTAACCAGATTGGATTTGTGACAAATGTCTCTGTTTGTGTCTGAATCCCATAAATCCTCGGTGATCGATAACGGAGGCCTTTTGTCACTTTCTGAGGCGTGACCTTGAAACTCATCCCCTGAGAAGAACCTATCTGAATGATCAGAATAAGCCAAAACCTTGTGCATATCTATATCCCCAACCATGAAAACTTGCTCAATTGTTCCCCTCCCCTGAAGCTTTTCTAAATCGGCTTGAAAAAGAAGCTTCGATATTGAGTTGACTTCGTCCTTGCTTCGGCTCATGCTAGCTGTAAGAGGATCTGGTATTGTATATCCAGAAATTTGTAACACATTATCTAGCAATTCAAAAAAGGCGGTTAGACCTGTAAATTTTTTCCCGAGGGGGATTATCAAAAACCGCTCTTTGGATTCAGAAATCCGGAAAAAGTCTCCAAATTTGTTTCCCTCAAGACTGATCTTTAAGGGCCCATTGTGTGTTGAAAAGCACCTCGGTTTGATCCGAAGAAAGCTCAAAATTTGATCCCGTAGCCAAACAGCTGAGTCTAATGGGAATGACAATTTTCGAAGAACTCTATTTTTAATTTCTAAAATTGATAACCGTAAATTGCTCATTGCAATTCTAAAAGTTTTAGATTCAATCTTCACTGAATCATAGCCATCCTGGAGGAAAAAGAATTTATCAACTCCTTCAAATAAAACAAGCTCACTCCCAATAATTGTTTCCCGATGAATCTGGACCAGATCCTGTATTTGACAACCCATCTGTAATGCAGAAGTTGCAGAAGGCCCCATATCTGATTTTTTTGTCGGAGATTGGGTCGAGTAGGCCATGTGCAGATCTGTAATGGCGGAGGAGTTGCACTCCGCTGGAGGAACCACCATACGAACGACCTCAGCCCACGTCTTGCTGCCAGAGGTTTCTGTTGCCGGCATTTTGCTCTCTCGGAGTTCAATTTGGCCGCCAACGAAATTAGGAGCTTGAAGACCCATCGAAATCTGAGCCGCGACCTCAGAGCCGCCAGAGATTCGATCACCGGAGTGATTTGGCGCAGTTCTGGCGGAGTTACTCCGGCCATCTTCCTCGATCTCCTTTTTTTGGGGGTTTCCATCTGCAAGTTTCCGGTCGATCTTCTTATCTATTTGGCGAGGGTAGTTGACGTAACTCACGCCTGGACGATAGCCTGGTTTACGCGTTCTAGTGAGATGGCCTCCCGATTTGAAGTTTTGTATATGAGCTGACTGAGATTCTGGGCTTGAGGAAACCCCTGTTGATGGAAGGTCGGCCAAGGTAACACCTTCTAGAGTTCCTCTTCCTGCCAGAGAAGCTAAGATCTTGTTCACTATAATGTCTATGTCCGTTTCCCTCAATTGCACATACCTGCCATATGGGCGGATGCTCCTGGAGTCGTGATTGGAAGAGAGCCGGAATGGTTTAGGTGTTGGCCGAATATGCTGGCCAGAAATGACCCGGTTTCCATAGTTTGCCCGGTGGTGAACTCTGTAGTGAGACGATTGGTGTCTCGGACTGCCGGAGATTTTGGCGGCGTCACCGCCGGAGTCCCACACTCTCTCACTCATCCCCCTCCAACTCCCGTAAGTGGATCATGTTCTTATGGTGCATTTATAAGTTTCTGAACCATAATTGGCCTGATATATGAGCATGCCTGAGTGCTAAGGAAAGCATGTATCCTGTTGTGCAATTGTTAAACCATTGTGAACTGAAATATGTGTCCAAATTTCATGACTGATACTGCATAAGTCAAACCATCATCTTAAACCATAATCCTATGACAGTTAAAGCATGTCTGAGATATGCAAGATTGGAAAGAAGGCTGAACTATAGTGTCATACTCTCACAACTAAAACCATAATATGCAAGTGTGGAAACATGCCTGAACTTAAAGTGCCATCTTCCATAACCATTGAAAATTGGATGAGATTGCAAGTTACAACTAATTACGATCCTCTATTTAATTTTTTTTGTCTTTCTCTATTCATATACGGAGTATATTTTAAGACCCTAAGTATCATATTAAAAGGTCAACCCCAATATAAGAAGTTGTTTGAGCTCTCTACATGAATTTGTTAAGAAAAATCCTTAAGTTTTTGTGTTGTTTGATGACACTCTGATTAAACTTAGTTTAACAAACTTCAAAAGAGTTATATATGAGTTTATAATTTATATTTTCTTGGTGTGTGATGGTTTAACTTATTCATGATCACGTATTCACGACTAATTAGAACAAATCGATCTCACAATGCTTTATTATTCAAACTTACAAGGATTAGATGGTTCATTATTTAAATCTGAAATACTCATGTTTAAGAATAAAGGTTCACCATAAAAGAACAAAAAGATGTGATAATAGCTCATGATCTTAAATAAGAGTTTGTAAAAATATGTTAGAAGGACGTGGGATGTTTTAACAATAGTTATGTAACATTATTTATAAGATTAAAAAGATTTTAAAAAAAACTCTATGATTGTCTTTGCCAATTGTTGTAGGGTGCATTAACTACAATAACAACATTTTGCTTAATTTCATCAGTAGTAGCAAAGAGAGGTTCACCTTATCCTTCTATTTTCAATTCAATGTTCTTAATATTGGTAGCCATTGCCGAAGGTGTCTTTCTTCGTTCAACCATTTCAGTGGGAATGTTAAGTTTCATTAACAGTGATGGACTGTCTACCCGGGGGGTATCTTATCCGAGGGGTTATTGTGGGAATAACTTAGAGAGAAGTCAGAGCAAAATAGGAGGAGAGAGAGTCTATTTATTAAATGAACTCGAGATGTGGAGATGTATGTGGATGTCCATGTTGACGATGGCCTGAATTTTCTCGGGGTTGGCCTCAATACCCCTTCGGCTGACCATATAGCCCAAGAATTTCCCTCCTTGCACGCCGAAGGTGCATTTCTTCGGATTTAGTCGGAGGTTGAATTTTTGCATGATGGCGAAGATTTCCTGGAGATCCTCGACATGGGTGCTGGCCTTCTTGCTTTTAACGATCATATCGTCAACATAGGCCTCCATGGTGCGCCCTAAGACAGCTTGAAAGACCCTAGCCACCATGCGGGTGTAGGTGGTGCCTGAGTTCTTGAGGCCGAAGGCCATCACAAGATAACAGAAGATGCCTTCGGGTGTCATGAAGGCAGTTTTTTCAGCGTCTTCCTCATGCATGTAGATTTGATGATATCCGCGGAATGCGTCGAGGAATGACATGATCTCGCATCCCGCGGTCTCATCCACCAGTTGATCAATGTTTGGCAGAGGGAAGGGGTCCATAGGGCACGCCTTATTTAAGTCTGTGTAATCCACGCACATGCGGAAGGTAGGGGGCTTCTGTGAGGGGACTACGTTTGCCAACCAAGAAGGGTATTTCACCTCCTTGATGTGTTTGATGGAGAGGAGCATGGCCACCTCCTTCTTCACGAACTCCCTTCTCTCGGCCGAGAGGGGTCTTCTTCGCTACTGCACCGGTTTTGCCGAAGGGTCCACCGCTAGGCGGTGGGTGATGACCCTTCGGTCAATTCCCGGCATGTCCTCCGGCCCCCATGCAAAAACAACGGAGTAGGCGCAGAGAGCTCTGGTGATGGCAGCCTTCAGGTCTTCGGGGAGCTTGGCTCCAATCTTCAGGCCCCTCTCCGGCTTGGCCGGATTGAGTATCAAGTCTTCAGTTTCCTCGGCAGGTTCAGCCCTTGGCCTGCCTTCTTCCTCTTCCAGGACCTTGGTGGTAATCGTATCAATTCGGAGCTCAGTTTTACTAACCTTCTTGGTGAGTTGAAGGTAGCATGCCCTGGAGAGCTTCTGATTCCCCCTCGAGTAACCGATGCCGATAGGCGTGGGGAACTTGAGGCAGAGGTGCCTCATGGAGATGACGGCTTCCAGGTCTTCGAGGGCGGGCCGGCCGAGGATGATGTTGTGTGCGCAGTCGAGGTTGACGACGACGAACTCCACTTCGAGCTTGGCTCTATGGGATCCGTCGCCGAATTCAACCATAAGGGTGATGACGCCCTCGGCATCTATGCTATCCCCCGTGAATTCGGAGAGGGGGGTGTTGATGTGCCGAAGGGATCCCCTGTCGAGTCTCAACTCTTGGAAAGTGCTGAGGTACATAACGTTGACAGAACTCCCCGTGTCAACGTAAGTCCGGAGGATGATGGCGTCATTGATCTCAGTGCGGATGACGAGGGCATCCCTATGCGGCAGAGAACCCGAGGGGAGGTCCGCATTGTGAAGAAAATGGGTTCCCCCCTCGGCTTCTTAGTTGGGGGCATGCGGTTGACCTCCCCAACGTAAAGGGATTGAGCCCACTTCTTTCATTGGCTGGTGGAGTCTCCGCCAGTGTTGCCACCATTAATCATGTGAATGTGGCGCTTGTATTGTTGATGGGAGCCCTCTCCCACGTCATCGAGGCCCCCAATTTCACGTTTCTTCCCCTGTGGGTTTCCCAAGGGAATGGTGTTGGGGTTCACCCACTTGTTTGCCTTCGGCGGAGGACCCTGATGATGAGGGGGACCCTGGGGAGGAGGGCCCCTGATAAACTGAGACAGGTGGCCTGCCTGTATCAGCCTCTCGATGGCCGTCTTTAGTTGGTGACAGTCATCGGTCTTGTGTCCATGGTGGCGGTGGAAGCGGCAGTAGGGCTCATCAGGGCCGATGGCATAAATCTCGAGGGGTGTACGGGAGTCTCGCTCCACGAGCCCTCGCTCTTCTGCGTGATCCAAAATGACGCTGACGGGATGCGTCAGGGGAGTGCGTGGGTGCTCAAGGAGGACGGGTCGCGCCCATGCCTTCGGATTGTTCTTGTAACCGCCCCCGGGTCTGGCTTGGCCACCTCAGGAGCGATCGTTGTACTGTGCCTCTCGGTTGGCCGGAGGGGGAGGCCCTCCGGGCCTATTCCTGCCTTCATTCTTTTGAGAAGGATCCGCGTTGCGGCGGTCCTTCTCGATTTCCTCCGCTTCGGCATATCGGTCCCCCCGCTGAAGGGCCTTCGTATAATCGCGGGGGGGATCAGTGATGAGACTCCTGGAGAAGTTACCGTTGCGGAGGACAGTGTGGAAGAGGGCCATCAGGGTTCTGTCATCGGTGCCCTCGACCTCAAGGGAGGCTTGCCTCCAACGTTCCAGGAAACTCCGAAGGGTTTCCTCCTTCTGCTGTCTCACGTTCAGAAGGTGGGAGAAGTGTTTCTTCGAGCAATGTCTCCCAGCAAATTGTGTAAGGAAGCGGTGGGCAAGTTCCTGCCAAGAATCGATGCTGCCTTCAGGCAATCGGTTGAACCACTCGTACGTCGGCCCCTCCAAGGTGGAAAGGAACCAACGGCATAAGTATTCGTCCGATGCCCCCATCATCATCATACTGTTCTGATACCTGTTATAGTGTTCTTGGGGATCCGTCTTCCCCTCGTATGGTTTGATGGGCTGCCCCCGGTATTTGTGGGGAATTTTGGCCGCCAGCACCCTTGGGGTGAAAGGCGTCCTAGTGCGGAGCTGGATGAGGGGCTCGCCCGAGCCTTCGGCGAGTTTACGCTTCATTTCCTCCACTTGCGCCCGGAGGTTAGCGTACTCTGGATCTGGCCTCGCTGTGGAAGCCGTCGGGGGTGCCTGTCGATTTTCCTCGAGCTGACGGAGGAGGGCCTCAATGATTTCGTCTTTGGGATCCTTCGGGGCAACCCCTTGGGAGTTGTCCCGGAAGGATTGCGCCTGTGTGATTTGGTGCCTGGCATCATCGGCATGGAGGGGAGCTTTACCTTTGCTCCGGGGTGGAGGCACGCCTTCGGCACCCAAAGCGGAGGCTCCACTTTCTTGGGGCCTGCTGAGCACCTGTTTCCCGAGGCGATCTTGGACCCCTCGGTGCCCGGGAGCTCCCCCCAACCTCTCAAGTGCAGAGGTCCGGGGTTTCTCCTTCATCATGGGGCGCTTATCCCTAGATTGAGCCTCTTGGGAGGCAGTATCCTGCGCCATGACCCTCTCGGCGTTGCCAATCCCCGGGAGAGGATTGTTGAACAAAGGGGGGAGTGGTGGTAGTTGGATAACGTTTCCTCCAGCACAGGGCTGAAGGGGTGCTTGAGAGGCGAGGGCTCCGGAATCGAGAGCCATGTTTTGAACAAAGGCCGCAAAGGCAGCCTGAAGATCGATGGCCGGGGCCGGAGGGGGAACTTGGTTCTCACTCCGATCCCTCCTTCGATTATCAAGGCCAATGCGGGCATCAGGGGCATTCTTCTGTAGCTGCTGACGGAGGTCAGCAGTAGCTTGCTCTAATTCGAGGATGATACCACCCTCGGGTACTAAGAGCCTGTTGGAGGTCTCAGCCTCGTTGGTTTCGCCGGGGGCTACATGGTTCTCCTCAAGGGTTTTGGATTGGGCACGAGTTGTTCTTCCCATTTTTGGTAAGTGTTTTGAGTTTGGTAGAGTGGGAGGGTTTCTTACTTGATTGTTCTGACCTCTCAACGAGAGCACCCAATGATGGATAGTCTACCCGGGGGGTATCTTATCCGAGGGGTTATTGCGGGAATAATTAGAGAGAAGTCAGAGTAAATAGGAGGAGAGAGAGTCGATTTTATTAAATGAACTCATCGTGTGAAAGTTGGAGGTGGATGTCCATCGTTTACAAGGAGAAATGGGCTGCTATTTATAGCAGCAATAAATGCGATGAGAGTACACGTGTCAGTAATCCAACGGCTGAGGGGTCACATCAGCCGGGTGGCACCGGCAGTGGTACGTTCACCGCATTGAATGCGGCTGGCGGATGTGACGTGGCATTAAATGCGGTGGTTGGCTGTCTCCAAAAGGAATCTTCGATGATTGAGCATGTTTGGCCGAAGGCTCCTTGTGTAGTCGAGGGCTCCACGTGACCAAGGGCCCCTGTGTAGCCGAAGGCCTTGTGTGACCGAAGGTTTGGTTCAGCCGAAGGCTTCTCTGATGCCGAGGGCTTGATAATGCCGAAGGCTCATGTTTTTCGCCGTTTTCTCCCAGTAGCTTCTTATGCCAGAGAAGGCTATCCTGTGAGTTTTGGAGCCTTCGGCCAAGGGGGCCGAAGACACCCCAGTGTGTATTCTGGGCTACTTTGAGGCTTGGGCCGTTGCACTTGGGCCTGAGTTGTTCTCTGGGCTCAATGGACTTGTGTAGGAGAAGTAGGAGTCTATGGGCCGGGGGTTCCTGGGCCATATACTCCATCAAACAGTATCAAATCAGCAAGGTAACTTACTCGTTGGTGGAACTGAATTTTCTTAATCACCAACTGCCCGCACCTCAGTTTACTAAATGCCCTTTTTAGAATCAGTTTCCAACTGATTGGGCTGTTGCAAGCCTGCAAACACGAACAGGTTTTGTCTTATGACCTTATCAATCCTGTATCATCTCCAAGTGCCTGTAGATATATTAAAAAGCTTCCACATGTTAACAGATTAACTAACCAAGGGTTTCAGTAATTTTTTGGAGTTATATACTATCCTCCGTTCTCTTTTAATCGCAACATTGCACTTTTTGCACTATTCACATATTCTACTTTGACTATATTTTATTCATTAATGTATTATAAATTAATTTTTTCAAAAATATTATTAAATTCTTCTCATTGTAAAATTTCAAAATATGAATTTTTTAAATTTTTTACTAATAAGGAATGAAAGATATTAATGGTCAAACTTGTGCGTTGCCAAACGTGAAATGTTGACTGTTGCAATTAAAAGGGAACGGAGGAAGTATGAGTTTATAATTTATATTTGCTTGGTGTGTGATGGTTTAACTTATTCATGATCACGTCTAATTAGAACAAATCGATCTCACAATGCTTTATTATTCAAACTTACAAGGATTAGATGATTCATTATTTAAATCTGAAATACTCATGTTTAAGAATAAAGGTTCAGCATAAAAGAACAACAAGATGTGATAATAGCTCATGATCTTAAATAAGAGTTTGTAAAAATATGTTAGAAGGGCGTGCGATGTTTTAACAATAGTTATGTAACATTATTTATAAGATTAAAAAGATTTTAAAAAACTCTCTGATTGTCCTTGCCAATTGTTGTAGGGTGCATTAGCTACAATAACAACATTTTGCTTAATTTCATCAGTAGTAGCAAAGAGAGGTTCACCTTATCCTTCTATTTTCAATTCAATGTTCTTAATATTGGTAGCCATTGCCGAAGGAGTCTTTCTTCGTTCAACCATTTCAGTGGGAATGTGAAGTTTCATTAACATTATCAAATCAGCAAGGTAACTTACTGGTTGGTGGAACTGAATTTTCTTAATCACCAACTGCCCGCACCTCAGTTTACTAAATGCCCTTTTTAGAATCAGTTCTCCAACTGATTGGGCTGTTGCAAGCCTCCAAACACGAACAGTTTTGTCTTATGACCTTATCAATCCCGTGTCATCAAACTCTTTAGTTAAAAGCTTTAAGAATCCAGGGAAATCAGATATATTAAAAAGCTTCCACATGTTAACAGATTAACTAACCAAGGGTTTCAGTAATTTTTTGGAGTTCTTTAATCAAAACTTAACATTCAGAATATAGTAAATGCAAGACAAGAAAAATTGCAACTTTTCCTTTATATGTGTTCTGAATTCATATCAAAGAGGTACTTTTGAAATCTCCATTACTGTCCTTTATATATGTTCTTTAGAATTTTATATATGAGAAATAATTTTCACAGAACAACCCAACATACACCCACAAGTCGCAACACTAAACTTTTAAAAGTTCTTCAGGATACTTTTAAACAGACTGCTACTGTTTGGTTATTATTGTTTATGTGTAAGAAATCATGATTTATACAATTAGAAACTTTTCATTCTTTAAATTGATATATAAATCATGTTATTGTGAAATCAAATGCATTCTCAATTGAAAAGATAACCAGAAGTAATTCAACTTCGTTTTTCAATTATGTCAATGAAGAAATTTACAAAGCAAGAATATACTCCCTCCGTCCCTTAAAACTTTGCCATCTTTCCTTTTTGGGACGTACCAAAAAACTTTGCCACTTTCCCTTTTAGTCAATTATTTGTGGTTTCTGTTATTTCTCTCTCCTCTGCACAAACCTCAACCACACAGTTTTTACTTTATTATTCTCCGTGCCGGTCAACTTTGGCAAAGTTTTAAGGGACGGAGGTAGTACGTATTTTAAGGCAATTTGATCTCCTATCTTGAAACAAAAGTAGTAAATTCAGGATTACTTGTAGACATGAGTCCTGTTTGGGGTACAACAATTTGTACCCCAATTTGTACACCGTCTGTGTACACAGACATTTGGACAGAAAGACCTGTCCTCTTTCAAACGAATTGCCTGTGTACACAGGCAATTAAGGGGGTGAGTACAAAATGGGGTACATTTTGGGGTACCTCTAGAATTTTTGTGTAGACATACACACATAAAATTGTTTAATAGAAGTATACTTTTTCATCACACACAAAAATTGGGGAGGGGGGCACGTGATAGAAAGGGCATTTCCGTCTCCTTCGCGCGATCGTAGACGATGGCGGAGACGACTTTTGTAGCGAGAGAAGACCGGGAGGAGTCGCACAAGACAAAAATGGCCACGCATTTCAGCGGAATTTCACTTTCATTCCGTATGCATTTACATTCCAACCCCCCAACGGCTTGGTACACGAGAACCGGATCGCGCCCTTATCTTTAGTTCTCACTCTCCCCCCTATAAATACTGCACTCTCCTTGTCCCCCTCTTCCCGTTTATAGCTTCTCACTAGGAGAGATAGAGAGGGATAGAGAGAAGAGGCTAGAGGTAGGAGGCCAGATAGGTAGAGCTTGAAGATTCGAGCTAGGCAGGTTGGTCGTCTCTTCTTTATGGTCCCCTTATACCTTCCTTCTCGCTTTTCTTTCCTCAAAGATTTTTTTTTTATTATCACTGTTTATCTCATTCGTGCGTATTATATGCAATCGCTGATTATTGGTGTATGATTATTGCGAATTTGAGATTTGTTTTTATTCCTTTCTTTGTGCTTAAATATTTGTTCAGCGAAAAAAACTATGATGCATTAGCTATATTGTAAGTTGAATTCGTGTGGGAAGTCAATGTTAGGTATAGTTTCACAGAAAACCAAATTAGTCAATTGAAGAAATGATTTTGGGGAATATGTTTGAGCACATTGGTTCAATTCTTGTTGTTTTGATTGTATATGATTGGTAATTGAAACAAAGTTGATATCTTTGATGTGGTGGCTGGATCTCTTTGTCATTCTATCTGCATTCTCTATTTAAAGAAATTGTGATTAGGAAGTACAGTGTGGATCTTTCTGTTATTCTATTCACTGGGTGCTCAATGGATGCTAATTGTCACGGGTAGCTAACATATTTCATGAGTTTGCTCCTTCTATGTGCGCTCTGATATCTGTATTCTCTATTAAGCAGTACTTCTCGCTTCAGATGTGATGAATTAGTCTTCAGATAATCAGATGTGATAAATCTGGGAAACTGTTAGAATATATGTAGTGATTATAGAGCACTAGTCCTTTCCAGCAAATGTTGATGGTTTCTTGTGTTGTGTGGGTCTACAGAAGTATTTGAGGAAAGAGATACCAGTGTGCAGGATTGGTCCAAGAATTCAGGCTTTGAATGTTCACTGAAACAATGGAGGTATTTGGAAAATCTATGGTAGCTGTTCCTACAACTGTTATTTATCTGTCAAGCATTCTGGGCCAAGATGATGGGCCGAACCCGGTTCACAAATGTGATTGGAAATGTGAAAATGAACACGTGTGTGGGAACATTTACAGATGCAGACTAACTGGGCTGACTCACATTTGTGACAAAAACTGTAACCAGAGAATCTTGTATGACAACCATAGCTCCCTTTGCAGAGTGAGCAAGCAGATTTTTCCACTAACACCAGCTGAAGAGACGGCTGTGAAAGGAATACGGAGGAAGCTTGATACTGAAAGTTCACCATCCGACAGCTGTGCTTTCAAGCGTAGGCGGGATGCGACATTCCATCCATCGCCGTTTGAGAGATCTTTCTCTGCTGTTACTCCCATTTGTAGCCAAGTTGGAGATGGAATGGACATGAGCTAGATTTCATCTGCTTATTCTACTTCCGTTTTTTAGTGTTTTACTGCTCTCATGAGACAATAATGCGAAAAACACTTTGATAAAGCCATCTTATGTGGCAGACTGGATTTATCATGCCAAGTCTGTAGGAGACTCTTATATTGAACTGAAGTACCTTCCATAACTTACTAGGTAGTTAACTTTATCATGCAGCCGGAGTTATTGTTATCACATTTGAGCTCCACTAGTGGAACTTAAGAGCTCAATATCTGATTTATCAGGTTATTGAAGTTCTTTGTTCATTATGTTATCAACTATTGATGTAATAGCTTTACCGTGCTTTCTTATTTTGTATTGGTTAGCATCATCTCAGCAAGTCCTATTTTTCGACTTGCTCTGCAATGGAGTTGTTTGACTTGACTAATTTTCTTTATATGTAACAATATTACAGGGTACCATTATTTCTAGAAGCCTTATTATGACCGGATTGTTGTTGGAAATGTTAAAATTGTTGTGGCCTTCTTTTATGGACACTCAATTTTAAGTCTAGCTCATATCATTATTGAGTTTATTCAAGTTAAAACTGATGTTTACTTCTTTGACTTTCTGTTTTTTCAGGTTTAGGGATATAAGCTGAGCTCATTTCTGGTTATATGTAATGGTGCCTTAAATGGTGTTGTTTTTGCAGGAATTGAAGGGCTACAATTGGAAAATCGATAGCCTAATATATGTGTTTATTTATATTCTCTGTATTTTCTTAATGAGAATCTGAGATTTTTTAATTAATGAATATGGGAATAAGTTTCTGATTGTTATAATTATTTATTTTTCTTTTCATGCAGGGTGTTTTTTCTCTAATATGCATTTCCAGAATTCAAAAGTCTCAAATGCGGCATGCTGTGTGTTTATCAACATATTCATGCCAACTGAAGTTGAGGCCTGTTCATTAAAGGCACACCATGTTCTGCTCCTACACCTTCTACCATCGCCTAATCTTCCTATCATAAGTACCCATCTTAAACCAACAGATTACCAGGATTTTCAGGTTTCCTTTTTCTATCAGTTGGTCCTTATAGCCTAGAATCATGGTGCCACAGATTCAATTCCATATGTTTTATTCTGCTCGCAATGATCTTAAATTTGATTATTTCATCTGACCAGTTCCTACTGTCAAGTATCTGTGGGAAGTAGCTCGAATAAATTACTCATTTAGCCGACCCCAACTTCTTTTGGAGTTCATATGTCGATTAATGTTAGCCGACCCCAACTTCTTTTGGGACTAAGGCTTGGATGTTGTGGTTGTATAGAGTTTTGGGAAGATTCCCTGTAGTTCTTTAATATGAGAGCTTCATTGTTTTAAGGAAGTAGAAAAGCTGTCTACTAAGGTGATCAATTAATGTAATCACAAATATTAAATTTTACTAGTATAAGTTTGCTTTTAAATACATTAATCCATGAAGTTGCAGGTAAAGAAAGGAATAATTTGTTTTGACGTGGGTTTTAAAATTCTTTACCTAATACATAAGTTTTGATTTGATAGCTGCAAGCTGGTAATAATACAGTTTTTTAGGCTGCAAGCTGGTAAAATAATAAAAACAGTTTGCAGTTGTGGGATGATTCTCTTCAGTTTTGTCATTATCTGATTTAACGAAATAGAAAACCAATCTACTTTTAAGAAGATCAATTAGTATATTTAGTAATACGAAGTACTGATATTTTTCTTTGAGATACATTACTCCATGAAGATAAGGTAATAGAAAGGAAGGAATTGTTTCTTGTTGAGGCCACCCAAGATGGAAGGAAAAAGAAATTCTAAACCACAATTGTGTTCTTACGGCTGATGAACTTCTCAAAGCAACTGAACATTATGGATTTTGAATATAATCATCAATTGAATGCTATAAAATCTTCCCTGAAGTTGCAATATAAGAGGTTCAGAAATTATTCACTTGGCAATTCCTCCACCATAGGGTGGAAATCTATTAGTCATACAGGCCTGAAGAAATCCCAATATATTATGCTAGGGTTCCTTATAACTTATAATAATGTCGCATAAACCAATTCTCATTACACTACTTTTCTCAACGTTGTTTTCATACTCTTTTGAATGCAGTTTCATCATAACCAATAGCTGTCCACAGACAATATGGCCTGCCACGTTGGCGGGTGCAGGAACTCCTGCACTACCTACAACTGGATTTCAGTTGAACTCCGGCCAAAGTATCTCCATTCCATGTACCCCAAAGTGGTCGGGCCGCATTTGGGCAAGAACTGGATGTACTTTTGACACATCAGGTGCTGGATCTTGTGAAACAGGGGACTGTGGTGGAAAGCTTGAATGCAATGGGATGGGGGGCAAACCTCCCTGTTCTCTCTTTGAGATCACTGTCGGAGGTTGGGAAGATAAAGATTTCTATGATATCAGCTTGGTCGATGGCTACAACTTACCAATGATAATGGCCCCTATAGGGGTTCAGTGCAACAGCACTGGTTGCATTTCCAATCTCAACATGGGTAAGGTTTTATTCATCGCCTGAGCTGAAGTAGCTGAATTTGTTGAAATAGCTGATTTGGCTAAAATAACGAAAAATTTATTTAAATCTGAAAATATACACAGAGAATGTAAAAACATTACAGAAAAAGTTCATAAAATGAAGGTAAAAGTTCGTTGCAGGCATCAAAAAGTAAATCATGCACTGTTTGTTTTCATTATTTGCCCATTTAGCCCAGTCCATAACAATATAATATTGCTTGATGTAGAATCTAGCTAATGTAATATTGCCACTAGCATACGGCTTCTGAACGCAATTGCAGGATACGCCTCTTAAAGTTTTTTGATAATGGAAAACACTTGCTGCAGGTTGTCCTAAAGAGCTTCAAATGGTTGGGGGAGATGGGGCTGTCATTGGGTGCCAGAGCGCCTGTGAGGCTTTTCAAATGCCTGAGTATTGCTGTAGCGGAGAGTATGCCAATCCAACAACTTGTAAACCGTCCTTCTATTCTAAAATCTTCAAAAATGCTTGTCCCAGTGCGTACAGCTATGCATTTGATGATGGAACCAGCACCTTTACCTGCAAGGCTGATCAGTATCAGATCACCTTTTGCCCCAACGGGTATGACCTTTATTTGATTTGGCATGGTGCTCACTAGCTTTGTGAAGTTGAACTTCTATTTCCTTTCTTTGGTACGGCTATCAGGACACAAGGGTACAATTTCATAAAGCATGTGTAATCACCAACTTTTCTCAAAAAATCGCACTATGCTAAGCATATACATATATGCATATCTTTGTTTCTAATACTCGATTACTCATGTATACCAGGACCAATAATGGCAACAATTCAACAAGCGCTCCACTTCTACCACCACTGCCGCCTTCTCCACCTAACGGCGGTACAGTTGCTACACCTCTACCACCACTGCCTTCTCCACCTAATGGTGGTACAGTTACTACACCTCCACCTTCTCCACCTAATGGTGGTACAGTTACTACACCTCCACCTTCTCCACCTAATGGTGGTACAGTTGTTACACCTCTACCACCGCCACTGGTTACGCCTCTGCCGACACTGGTTACGCCTCCGCCGCCACTACTTGTACCGCCACCACCTGCTCCACTTAATGGAGGTGTAGGTGTGATGCCTTCACCTCCAGGTCTTGGCGTCGCTACACCTCCACCTCCTCCACCTTTTAGCAATCCAGTTGATGGGCCTCCACCCCCAGCTATTCCACGACTTAAAAGAAAGACTGGGAATTCCATGCCTGAAGCAGGGATTGTTTCATCTTCAAAAAAGAGTCTACCCTTCTCAACATTTACCATAACCGTTATGTTTCAACTGTTTCTGCAAATATAGATTGCTAAAACAATTTTCAGCTTTGGCATATGAAAAAGCCGCCATTAACCCATTACTGTAAAAGTTTGTAAGAGTTCACAATGATGCTAATTTGTTATTAAATGGGTTTTCTATGAAATGTTCACTAAGAGCCCGTTCTGTAACTTTGATTTTACACGTTGAATTGTGTAATTGTAAGATTATAAGATAAAATAAGGTTGGAGTTACTTTTCATTGGTTGAAATTACTGTGGAAGACCGTTCTAAAAATTTTCATATAATTTTTTCTGTATTTTATTAATAAAATATGTTTTGAATATAATTTAATCATACATTAACAGAATTTAGTCAATACAGCCACTTGAGCTAGAACTTCATAAATTTCAGCAGAATCAGTCGATTTAGTTGATTTCAGTGTTACTAAACGAACTCTAAATACTCCATTATAAAGATTGGGTTTTTATGAAATGTGCCATTGTAGATTGGGTTTATTTTACTATATCACTTTCTGACTGTTATTTGTAAATGATATTTTACTTTTTGATAGTTATCTTATTAATTTTTTATTGTAAATGATTTATTGATATGGAAGTATGGAACTTTTTTTGTACTGAATTAGAACTTCTAACATAGTTTTCACATACTCCCTGTTTCACATTTAAGTTTTCATTTTCCTTTTCGACATGTTTCACAATTTAGGAAGAGTTTACAAAAATTTTAAAAAAGTGCTTTTAAGCTTTTGACTTAAAAAATTAAAATGAATGTTTTCAAGTGATAACTTCTGCTAGAAGAATCTAGTGTACACTCATATTGAGGCAACTCGTTCTCTTTCAGAACAACCTTCGTGCCAGGAGGAATTTTTGTGGAAAGACTTTATTCCTATATTATTTCTTCTTTATTAGTACTTGTTTTTATTTTAGTTTGAGTAGATTTAGTTTGGATCTTTGTATTTTTGGAGTACTTTTGATAGACAGTATTTCGGTTCCGGTCATTTTAGGTTTAAAATTGTCTGTTGCATGTTAGTGATAACTTTTATTTAAACTACACACTTAAAAGCTAAAAGCCAAGAGCAGGCAGAGTTGTAATTTAAACTGTTTTTCATTTATTCTATTACACAAAAACCCTTATTTTATCAAACACTGTCAATTTTTATTATTTGAGAAACACTTTTTCCCAAAATCAATTTAAAATATCATTTTTTCACAAACACTCACTTAGTCCTACTTTTCTCATTATTTACATTTCAGGAGTAAATTACACTTTTATTGTCAAGTAAGAAGTATATTAATTATTAATTCTCTATTTCATTTTTTCGCCACTTTTCATTTAATCAATTAATCTATGATTTCTATTTTTCTTTCTCTTCTGTTCAAATCTCAACCAAAAACTTTTTAGGGAAACTATCAAATAGACCCCGTACTATCATGAAAACATCAAGTACATCACGTACTTTAAAAACACTCAATCAAATCTCTCAACTTTGGGAAAACATTCAATGGAGTTAATTAGCAAGTTACCCTCGCGAAGTCAACAGTTTCCCTGCTGATGTGGCGCACACATGACGGCCATATAGGTAGTTATTTGTTGGCGTGACTCCCACATGGGAGCCCATACATCATTTGACTATTGACATGGCACACACGTAGGCCGCCACAAGTGCGCCACATTAGAAGCTCAATTGAACACATTTTCAAAGTTCAATGATTCAATCAAGTACTTTTAAAGCACGAGGAATGTAATTGATCGGCATTTTTGTGATAACATATGGACCTATTTGATTATTTTTCAAGTCTTTACCTTATTATTTCTTGTGCTGGTCAAACTTGGCAAAATTTTAAGTGGGTAGGAAGTACTTTTGTGTAGGCTTGGGCCCAATCCATGATCCTGAACCAGACCCATATTTCTGGTTCGAGTTAGAGAACAACGCTGATCCCGGTTAGTGATTTTAGGGATCAGAATTAGCCGATCCAGTACTCCTTTGCTCTTTTTGATGTTTTTTGCATTTCAAAGGCTTCCATTTTAAAAGAGGTATAAATCCATGTAAAAGCTAAAAAGTTGGTAAGGAGAGGGGTTGGGAGAGTTTTAAACATTAAAAAAACATCGAGACCGGCCAGGGATCGGACTGGAATTGGTCCGGAATTGGTACACCTGACGCCGATCTCGGTTCTATGGTAGCTAACCTTTGACACCGGCCGGTCCGGGACTAGTCCATAATTAATTTTAGGATAAACATACTTGGAAAGTTAATCAAAATTTTTAATTTGCCTACAAGTTTGTGAATTCAAGCTAGAATTTTAATTGCGAGAGAGAAGTACTCCTCCCTCCCATTCAAATGTTCTCACTTTCCTTGTTTGGACGTCGCAATCAAAAGTTCTCATTTTCTTTTTTAGGAAACAATTAACACTCTTAAATAACACTTTAATCATGAAATATTAAAAATATTACATTAACATCACACCGATCATTAATAACTAATTACGGAGTATATTATATACTCATCAAAACTATTTTTCAAAATATACTTGAATTAACATATTTAATTATTGTCTACGTAATCATGCCATTTTGCGAGGAGAACCTTTGAACGGGATAGAAAAAGTATACTTAAAAAATACTAATTCAAATATTATGGGAGGATAATTAGTTTATTTCCACTCAATAACCCAAGCCTAATCCGCTGAACGAGGATGGCACTAGTTTAGAATTTAAGTATGGGGAGATCCGGTATGGTTTTGGCCCTCAACCAATTCCAGTCCTGGTCTTGACCCAGAACTGCTTTTCCCAGTCCCAGTCTAGTACCAAGAATTGGTTAGTTCCGATGATGACTTGTGGAGGACCGTGAGCTGGGTCCAACCTTAGCCCCCGGTCAATTTTTTTTTTTTTTTTTGAAATATTATTGTGGACAATTAAAAATAATTGATCCAGTTACAATGATCATTGGGCCTCTTTTAAATGCTACTGGGCTATTTTACATTTTATTGGACCTCTTTTAAATTCTATTCGACCGTACATTGGGCTACTCATATTGGTTGTTGGGCCTTATCTAGAGAAAATGGTGACACGGGTCTTGGAATAAAACTTGGTCATTGATGGAGTATATGGCCCAGGAACCCCCGGCCCATAGACTTCTACTTCTCCTACACAGGCCCATTGAGCCCAAGGAACATTCGAAGCCCAAATACAACGGCCCAAGTCTCAAAGAAGCCCGAAATACACACTGGGGTGCCTTCGGCCTCCTTGGCCGAAGGCTCCAAAATACACAGGGCACCAGGATTCGAACATACGATGCTACTAGGAGGAAACGGCAGAAAACAGGAGCCTTCGACACTGTTGAGCCCTCGGCATCAGGGAAGCTTTCGGTTGAACCATGCCTTCGGCTACACAGAGCCCTCGGCTGCATGAAGAGCCCTCGGCTGAACAGACTCAATCATCGAAGATTCCCTTTGGAGACATCCAACCACCGCATTTAATGCGACGTCACATCCACCCACTGCATTCAATGCGGTGAACATGCCGCTGCCGGTGCCACCCCGATTGATGTGACCCCTCGGCCGTTGGATTACTGACATGTGTACTCTCATCGCATTTATTGCTGCTATAAATAGCAGCACACTTCTCCTTGTAAACCACGCTGAGTTCATTTAATACAATCGACTCTCTCTCCTCCCATTTTGCTCTGACTTCTCTCTAGTTATTCCCGCAATAACCCCTCGGATAAGATACCCCCGGGTAGACGATCCATCAGTCATTAAACTAATTTGGATCATCCAAAATGTCCAATTAATTTAATTATAAATTTATCTTTTAAAGCAATGGGCTAGCCCTGTTAAATCCTCTATTTGTGCTTAATATTAAATAGGGGCCCAATATATAAGAGACATGATCCAATTTATGAAGAGGGCAATGTATCTAGTTAATAAATCCGTCCTATGCATGGGGAATAGCTATGTACCTTCTTAAAAAGTTGTCAAGATACATTGCACAAATGCTGATTTTTCTAGTTACTAAAACACAAGCAAATAGAGCTCAAAACCCATGCAGGAGTGTCTGCACGGTCGAACTGTGCGGGTGTTCGCACACCGTGCGGACCGACATATAATTTTGACGGAATCTTCCACGCCGTTGTCCGCACGGCGTGCGAACAACCGCGCAGACGACCCCACAGACCGAATTTCGCCCACTTTTTTCTAATTTTTATAACTTCAACCCGTTTTTGTTTGTTTTTTACTATGAGGCTAGAGAGATAAACCCTAGAACGATTTTTAGAGCTTTTCAAGTCTTGGATTGTCAAGATTTCGGGATTCTTTTTAATTAATGACAATTAATTCTTTCCTTCTCAATTCTATTGTTAATTCAATTACGAATTGTGAGTAGTTTCAATTAGAGATTTGGGATTGATGAAAGGGTTATTCATGATCTAGTGTTAATTTGTTGATGGTTTAATTGAATGATCTTTATTTAATTTGTGTTTGAATAATTTAATTGATATCTTTTGTAACATGGAACAATCGCTAGGATTATAATTGCACATAGAATTTATTAAGAGAGACATAATTTATTCTAGGATACTTTCGCACACAAGGGCGGAGCCAGGACACTTGGCCGATACAAAGAATATTTTTGGAAAAAATTTTACACGAAATTTTTTACCCTAAAAATTTAGACATTTTTAAAATTTGGGCTGGGCCATGGCCAGGATTGGCCACCCCCTGCCTACGCCCCTGTTCGCACACACTTAATCGTTCGCTAAGATATTAGTAATGATTAGGAAGCCGTACACTCGCTTGTTTTGACAATAATTTAGACACATGTCGCATGAGAGATCAGCATATATGGTTGTCTAATTAATTTTTTTATTTACTAACTACTTTTACATACGTATTATAAATTTTGTTAGTTATTTGCATTAAAAAAAATATTATAAATTTCTTTTTTCAAAAGGAATATTATTTACATGACTAGCCCTATAACGGTATTAATGATTTATAAAAACTAAAAAATATTGTCAGAAGCAACAATTCTTTTACACATTATTTTTAATGTATTAGGAAAACCGAATAATAGGAGCAAAGCACAATTTTAGTACAAGTTAGAATAAAAAGCAAAAAAAAAAAACAAATTTTAGCAGCAACGATGAATTGGCGGAGAAGGTATGGGTAGATTAGGAAATTTAGGCAAGAAAGTGAATCGGCCAATTCTAAAAGCTAATTTTTGTAGCTTTGGCTGTTTACATAAAAAAACTAAA